GAAAATATAGTGGAAAATATTCTCAAGGTATTTACTTTATATCATTTACATGTGTATTGTGTATTCAGTCTTGAAATTGAACCTAATTCTTGTAGGAAATAGAAATAACGAAAATTCCTTTAATCATAATAACTTTTTTAGTCGTTTTAAAAGTAAATGTAGACCATGATTCTGGGATTTTATAAAAATAGGTCTGTTTGTTGATGATACATTTGTTTTAATTTCACTTCAAGAAACGTAATCAATATTATATCATATCTGTTCGGTTCCAATGTAGTAAACCTATCGTGTAAGAATTTCCATACACGGTTCAGGAGAAAAATTTCCAATATTGTTCACTTCCTAGCGTTTAAGAATGCTTATTTTTACACAATACACAGTCAACATGCTAAATTTAAATATAGCATCAACTTAAAAAACAACAAGCAAATGCATTATAAATTAGTAAACAAACAAATTAACTAATCACATCCATGCATTATTTACAAATAAAGAACTAAATTTTACTTTTAAAAGGGGTTTTAACATTTTAATATTGTAAACCTAACAAAATAAAAAAGTAATAGTCAGGACAAGAGCATAAGTGAAATATAAAAACTTTTTTACAACCCTTCATGACGTCAATTATTTCAACTTGATAAGTCGTATTTCACAAAAATTTTTAATAATCAAATTTCTTGGGTATTTGATCATGGAACCTCACAATTATGATATAACATTAATCTTATGAGGAAAAAAAGTAATAATAGAATTCTTAAACTCGATGAAATAATCTTGGTTATTTCATCTCGTTTAAAAATTTCCATTATTACATTTATTTCCTGAAACGTGAATTTAAATTGTAAAAATAAAATGTTTTCATGGCGAACAGACAAACACTAATAAGTCTGAATTGTTTAATATTATACTGTACAAGTGTACAGGGCCTAAAGAGCTACTGTATTATTTTCAAACCAATGTTTTATTTGGGGTTTTGTGCGAATTTTAAATTGTAAAAATAAAATGTTTTCATGGCGAACAGACAAACACTAATAAGTCTGAATTGTTTAATATTATACTGTACAAGTGTACAGGGCCTAAAGAGCTACTGTATTATTTTCAATCTTGGCAAATGCTTTCGCAGTAGTTTGTCTTCAAACGGTCCAAATATTATACTGTACAAGTGTACAGGGCCTAAAGAGCTACTGTATTATTTTCAAACCAATGTTTTATTTGGGGTTTTGTGCGAATTTTAAATTGTAAAAATAAAATGTTTTCATGGCGAACAGACAAACACTAATAAGTCTGAATTGTTTAATATTATACTGTACAAGTGTACAGGGCCTAAAGAGCTACTGTATTATTTTCAATCTTGGCAAATGCTTTCGCAGTAGTTTGTCTTCAAACGGTCCAAATATTATACTGTACAAGTGTACAGGGCCTAAAGAGCTACTGTATTATTTTCAAACCAATGTTTTATTTGGGGTTTTGTGCGAATTAATCTATCAATTAGTTCAAGATAATTTTACTAATATTTTTCAGCGTTCTTCAAGAGGAGACAGAGCAGAAGACGCCCTTCCCTCTATAAAAGATGGAACTGAAGATGTCCCTCCCACTAAAAAGAAAAGTATTATAGAGCAGAATCACAGTCTTCTTGAACCCACCGTAAAAGTCTGGGTTGAGGAATTGGACTTAAAAACTGAACCACTAAATGAAGACCCTGAAGAGTCTCAGTACCAGACGATCTACAATGAGAACCCTATTGAGGTAGACGAGACAAAGATAAATCCCGAAGATAATAATACAAGCTTTCAAGAAACTTCTGCCTTCGTCAGTTTGAAGAAAGTTCAAGATATTCCAGAAGAGGTTGAACAAGCGCATCAAAAGAAGAAGAAGAATAAAAAGTACAAAGAAGAATCCTGGGATATGTCTGACATTTTTGTTACTCCTGAGAAAAAGAAGAAAATGAAGAGTGAAAGACCAGGTATGGATCAAATTTTGTCAGATATTGTCACTCCTGAGAAAAAGAAGAAGAAAAAGAAGAGTGAAAGACCAGATATGGATCAAATTTTTTCAGATATTATCACTCCTGAGAAAAAGAAGAAAATGAAGAGTGAAAGACCAGATATGGATCAAATTTGTCACTCCTGAGAAAAAGAAGAAGAAAAAGAAGAGTGAAAGACCAGATATGGATCAAATTTTTTCAGATATTATCACTCCTGAGAAAAAGAAGAAAATGAAGAGTGAAAGACCAGATATGGATCAAATTTTATCAGATATTGTCACTCCTGAGAAAAAGAAGAAGAAAAAGAAGAGTGAAAGACCTGATATGGATCAAATTTTGTCAGATATTGTCACTCCTGAGAAGAAGAAGAAGAAAAAGAAGAGTAAAAGACCAGATATGGATCAAATTCTGTCAGATATTGTTGAATCAGAAAAGAAGAGAAAGGCTGATAATGAAGATGAGGTATCCTCAAAGAAAAAGAAGAAGTACGGTAACCATCACGATGTTAACATTCTTGAGCCAGGTAGAGTAGAAAATGAATCTGAACCACAGCAGATTCTGATCAACAATCTCCTGTCATCCATCTCAGAAAGTGTATCTAGCCCGAAGAAGAAAAAGAAGGAAAGTAGACGTCAGGATGAAAACATGATCGAAAAATCTGACGTTGAAGAGACCAGCTTGAAAAACAAGGAAGAAGAACTTTCATCCAGTCAAGTAAAAAAGAAGAAGGAGAAGAAGAAACACAAGAAAAATGAAGATTAAAAAATATTCACGATTTCAGTTTAAAACAAATGTTCAGATATCCCAAATAATAGTAATTTTCAAAGTTACCTTGTTAATAAATGCTTGTTATTTTTTTTTAAATATAAGTTTACAGTTTTATACAATAGCGAAATGTTTTCTAGCATAAAAGTAACATTCCTCTTCATGAATTTAGTCATCTTCTTTTCCATTTTCTTCATCAACATCTTCTTTACCATTTTCTTCATCAACATCTTCTGTTTCTCCAATTTCTTCTTCACCATCTTCTTCTTTGCCGTTTTCTTCTTCACCAACTTTTCCTTCTCCATCTTCTTCGCCATTTTCTTTTTCACCATCTTCTTTATTTCTGTCTTTTTCTTCACCCTCGCCTTCCTCGTCGTTTTCATTTTCTTCTTTTTCTTTTATATTTTTTCCCTTCTCCTTTTGTTCTCCTAAGATTAATTTTATAATCTTTTTATTCTTGTCAGCAATTTCTTTCTTGATGGATTTTTCTGTGCCATCATATTTTCCTGAAATAATTGTTTCTATTAAAGTGCTCAATCCTTCCCTCAGTAGGTACCTGCCTTTAAAAATGATTTTGATATTTTAATTTTTGGTATCATCTATAGCGAGGAAAAGGAAATTAAAAACGAAGAAAAACCTGTTTTCTGAAGAAGTAGTGGAATAATCTTCCCGATTCTCTTTTTTTTCTTCGTTTTTGTTGTGTGCTGTCGAGCTGGGGTTACATAGGTGTACTGCACCTGATCCTGGGAATAAACAGGGTACAAACTATCCTGACTGTAATCATCAGGCGTGTACATGACTTCTGGCTTGTATAAGTCCTCAGGTCTGATCAACTGCCGTTCACTGTACATGTAATCACTGGTGTACTTGTTATTCCAAACTCCAGGATACGCGTATTCATATTCAGAAACATATGGCTGAAAAAAAAACTTAAAACAACAAAACATCTTTATCCAACTCACTTCTAGGCTTGTCAATCGTTTTGATTCGTTTTTCTATTTTTTTAAGGAAAACGATTTTGCAAAGTCTAATAAAGGCAATCTTTAATAGAATTTATTTCTGTGAATTTCTCCATTGTTCTTGATAATGAATAAATGTGGAAGTCACTTTTGCAGAGAAACCACAAATGAAATTAAACAAAAATATACTTTTCATTCCTTCTTTATCAGACAAAGCGTTTAAGGAACAGTTTTAAACCTTTTAATTTACCTTGTTTATCATCTTGTAGTTTGGGTTTGGGAGTATATCTATCATAAACTTTTTTCCCTGAACATATTTAACAAAATCTAATAAACAATTATTTACTTTGGGGTATTTCTTTCCACAAACTTCCCCCCCCCCCCTCCTCCCACTAGTGTTGTTAACAAATTTAAATGGGATGGGGAACTATTTGTTCCCTGGGCAAGAAATATTTGTTCTGTTGCTGACGGGCCCCACTATTCCAGATATTTAAGAGAATACTTATTTCATTTTTTAGGATAAGGTTCGATTATGAGAGTTGATATCTATCTAATGAAAGGTTTGATCTTCAGAGTAAACAGAGATCATAATTTAAAACATTATTATACACATTATTCCTGCCTTTCATGCAACTTTAAACCATAAAATTATCGAAATTTGCTCATTTTTAAACATTTTGTTTATTAACCATTAGAAAATTAATTGGGTTTCTTTCCTGAACGCAATATTAATTAACAATGTAAAAGGGACTGTGAGCTTCATTACAAGTGACTTTCCTAATTGGCATGTCATATTAACAACGATACCCTTTAAACCTTTGTTTGATGAAGGATTTCGTATATATCCCTATTTATACAGCGGAAAAATAAGTGCCCCAAAAATGGCAGACGCTGAACTCCAACCTTCGAGTGTGCGAGGTGGGGAAGACTTCACTGCCGCGCTTAATTAAAAGCATGATTAAGGGGGGGATGACATTTGTAGATCGAGATTGAATCCTAGCCGCAGCGCTCGGCCCAGAAAGTGTCATAACTTAACCTAACCCGTGGCCGCAGCGCTCGGCCCAGAAAGTGTCTTAACCTAACCTTACCCTAAATAAAAGAAAGTGTCATAACTTAACCTAAGCTGTGGCCGCAGCTCTCGGCCCCTTAGCCTGTCCTAGCCGCAGCGCTCGGGCCAGAAAGTGTCCTAACCTAACCCTAAATAAATACTATTTTAATTGAAAATTGTTAAAAAAAGTGGTCATGTACAAAAGTAAAATCTGCAGTGAAGTCTTCCCCACCTCGCATACTCGAAGGTTGGAGTTCAGCATTCAATCTTCAGCTAAATAAATCGCTGTCCGCACAAAGGTTTATAGGGTACTGGTGTGAATTGGACATGGCTCTCTATAATTGGAAGGTAACTTACAGTACATAAAGAATGTTTCCAGCTTTTTTTGTAACATTGCATTTCCTTTCTATAAGATTGTTTTGTTAAACCTAGTAAAATCACTTTCCTTCAAAACAGAGCAATATCTATTTAGAGGATTAATAACAACTATCTTACCTGCTCCTCATGCGACTGTATTTTGTTTATATATTCGGCAGCAATAGATAACAGATCCTTGCTCTTTTCACCTAAGCCATCATTATTGTTTCATAATCTTGATTTTTCAATTCTACAATCTACATTCTACACATAATATATTGGTTAAAATTTTACTCCAATAAAACACAACTTACTTTTCTCCTTCTTGATGTTAGATGTGCTTTCATCATCAAAATAATCTAACTCTTCCAGTGCATCATGTTCCTCTTCATACAATTCGTTCTTGTCTAATTCATAGTCAGAACTTTCCTCTCCTAAACCATCTTCTGAACCTTCTTCATCACTTGAACCCTCTTCATCACTTGAACCCTCTACATCTTCTTCCTCAGCTGAATCCTCTTCATCTCCTGTACCATCTTCATTTTCTAAACTGTCTTTCTTTTCTGTACCCTCATCATCATCACCACCATCTATATCTTCATTGTCATCCTTGTCTTCATTGTTTTCATCATCATCATCATCATCTTCCTCCTCGTCATAATCATCTTCCTCCTCGTCATCATCATCTTCCTCCATGTCATCTTCCTCCTCGTCATCTTCCTCCTCGTCATCTTCCTCCTCGTCATCTTCCTCCTCAACATCCTCCTCCTCAACATCCTCCTCCTCACCATCCACTGCATCTTCATCCTCATCACTGTCCTCATCTTCATAATCAGCATCAGCGTCAGTGTCTTCATCATCTTCATCGTCTTCATACTCATCGCTATCATATTCATCATCATAGTCACCATATATTTCTTCCGTAGTACTAACAACTTCATAAATACTTTTTTGAAAATTCACCAGAAGAAACTCTTTAGTTTATCTTTAAATCTTAAAATTAAGTAAAAAAAGTATTCTTTATTCCTCTTGTTATGCTCTTTTCATACATCTGAAAAATTGTAAAATTATCTTATTGAACGACTTCATTCAATGTTTCACTTCTTATTTACCTACCGGTGTAGTCAACTGGTAGTCGATAATTGTGGATTCATTTGCAATATCACTAAAATTAGCATCAATTTGAAAAAGCTGAAAATTGTCAACTTTTATAGTCTAAAAGAATTTTATCCCTGTAAATGTCTAAACTAAAAATGATAAAATACAGCCTTTTGAATTAGAAAGTTTGAATATTTTTCATTTTTGATACTGTCCTCCAGTCTGTAAACACTCTTGTACTGTTGCCGGGGTCTACATAAGTTTCATCATAACGTGAAGTTACGTTTGGCGGTGGGGCTGCTGTTACTGAAAGAATTTTAGTTTTACAATGTTAATTGAGGTTTGTACTTAATGAACTTACTGCTAAGCAAGAAATCAGGAATTTCATAATTCTCATCAAAGTCATCATCATCATCATCCCCAAAAAGGATATCAAAATTGTCTTCATGAACATTATTAGTTTCAGAGTTATCTTCATTTGTTGCAGAAGTTCCATTTTTAGCTGCTACATCATCAGTTCCCTGTGTAGCATTTGCTTTATCTGCTTTATCAGTTAATGTTGTTGAGCTATTTGTGTTTTTATTTGCTTCAGTTGAATTCACATTTTGTATGCTTGACTCTGTAACAGTTGTATTTCCAGACTTATCATCTGATTTTACACTCTCAGCTTCTTCAATAACATTTTCAGCCTTATCAGTAGTTTCAGTTGATTGCTGAGTTGTATTTTCTATTTTCTGACTCTCTGGTACTTCAGTTATGTTTTTTGTATCTTGAATTTCAGTTGTAACTGTTGTTTTTGCTGTTTGGTCATTTGTTGCATAAGTTTGGTTTGTTAAAAAAAGTTCTGCTAAAATATCCCTTGCTGTAGCATTACCTGCTAATGCTATTTTTTTTTTATCATATTCTTTGTTAAGTTCTTCTTTGTCCTCTTTTACTTCTTCATCAGGATCTGTTTCTTCTTCATTAACATCTAATGCTTGTTTTTTATTATCTGATTCTTTTTCATTGGCATGTGATTCTTCTTTATTGCTATCTGATTCTGTTTCATTGTCATCTGATTTCTTTTCATTGTCATCTGATTCTTCATCAGCAGCTGATTCTTTTTTATTAGCATCTGCTTCTTCTTTCTTAGCATCTATTTCTTCTTTCTTAGCACCTGTTTCCTCTTCCTTGGCATCTGTTTCTTCTTCCTTGGCATCTGATTCTTCTTTATTACCATCCAATTCTGCTTCATCAGGAGCTGAGCCTTCTTTCTTAGCATCTGCTTCTTCTTTCTTATGATCTGTTTCTTCTTCCTTGACATCTGATTCTTCTTTATTGGCATTTGATTCTTCTTTTTCGCCATCTAATTCTGCTTCATTTTCATTTGATATCTCTTCATTAGCAGTTGATTCTTCTTTATTAGCATCTGCTTCTCCTTTCTTAGCATCTGTTTCTTCTTCTTTAGTATCTGATCCTACCCTGTTTCCATCTGTTTTTTTCTCATTTGCATCTGATTTCTCATCCTTGCCATCAGATTTCTTATTATTGCCATCTAAATCTTCCTTTTTGTCATTTGATTTATTTTCATTTGCATATTCAGCATTTGATTCTTTTTTATCAGCATTTAAATTGTCTTCTTCAGCATCTAATTCTTCTTCATTGTCATCATTTGATTCTTCTTCATTGTCATCATTTGATTCTTCTTCTTCAGCATTTGATTCTTCTTCATCAGCATTTGATTCTTCTTCATCAGCATTTGATTCTTCTTCATCAGCATCTGTTTCTTCTTCATCAGCATCTGTTTCTTCTTCATCAGCATTTGATTCTTCTTCATCAGCATCTGATTCTTCTTCATCAGCATCTGATTCTTCTTTATCAGCATCTGATTCTTCTTCATCATCTGACAATTTTTTAGCATATCCTCTTTGTACTTTGTCAGTGGTTTCTTTTTTTGTATCAGCTGATTCATTGATAGTTTTTTTCGTGGTGATTTCAGTTTCTGAAAAAAAAAATAGAATTGAGTAACTGTAGTTGTCAATTTGTTTGATATTATCAGACATTTTTATAATAATACAAGTAATGTGAATGTTGTGTAAAAATTAACTCTTGAAAATATTATTTACCTCTCTTAATTCTTTTGAGTTGCCCAAAGTTGTCTAGCACAGCTGCATAGTTGCTGTTCTTAGATGTAAGCCCTGTTTTCCGATCTGTAACGGGGATGAAAATGTGTATTTAAGTAATACGGTTCAAATCATGCCAATAGAAGAGAATCTTGGCTTTTTTCCAAATCAAAATGCCTGCTTACTAGTAATACTAGGAATAAGTTAAGATTTGTCCAATTTTTTTTATAAAAGCCTACCCACATTGAACCTTTGCCAAACATAAATATTTTTTTTTTTTTTTTTTTTAAAGACTTTACTCAGTTTATAATCTTAAAATGAATGTACGAGCTGCAAGGTGTAAGTAAATATTTTCCAAAATAAAAAGGAGTAGTTTCTGGCTTTCTTCCAACTGTTCCAACTCATCTGAAATAAGTTCAGCAATTATTATATGATAAAGTCTACAAGCATTCATATTTTTCATTTTTTGGAAAATACTTACTTAAAGTGCAATGCAACTTTTATGCTCTCTTTGCTTCTTTGTATTTGTTTAATTTTTATGTTTGGCCCTTCCTTCAAAGAGTTTGTGAAGTCATGACTATGACCTATTTTTAAAATCATGGCATTTAACTAAATACATATTGTTACGCTAGGATTTTTTAGAATATAACGAATTATAAAAGGCAATAAATACTCAAAAAAAGTGGCTGAAAATTCTAGTAGTGAGCATTTGTTTATGTTAACTGATAGGGAAAATAATATTACACATTTAGATGTTCCCTAAAACATTTTCAGAAGTAGTTTGACTGGAAGACTTTCTGAAAAAAGGGAATCAGAAATACTAGAAAGTAGAAAGTTAAGGCAAAACAATACAAGAGAAATATTTTGAGAATTTATTATTTAATAATCTTAGCAGTATTTACTTTATTTTAAAGAAGATAGTTAAAATTTGTGCTTTGGTGTCTTTTGCTCTAGAACGTTCTCTGTTATCATTTTGGTCAGAATCATAACCTTTGGGGTTTTTTGATTTCTTCTCATGGTTGTTTGGTTCTATTGGTTTTGTAGTTATTGTCTCATTTTCTTTGCTTGTTGTATTTTGATTTTTAATTCCTTCATTTCCTGTTTCAGTTGTGTTTCTATTTATTTCAGTTGTTAATTTATTACTATTAATTGCTGTTGCCTCTGTTGTTTCCTTGTTATTTGATTTCACATTTGGAAAACCTGGTTTCTCGTATGTTTTTGTTGTTTTGGTAGTTTGTTTATTATTGGTAGATTTTTTAGTGCTTTCCTTATAATTGGCAGCTGATGTTGTTGCATTCCTTTGAGCAAGACCTTCAATTGTTGAGTTACTTTCTTCACCTTGATTTTTATTCAAATGGGTGTCAGTGCTGTTAGTATCAATGTTATTATTTACTTCAGTTATTGTGTCAGTTTTCTCATTGTATATTGTAATGGTAGATTTGTCCGTGGTTACTGTTATGATTGTAGAACCTTCTGTTGTTGAGTTAATCTTCTCAGCATCATTGTTATCCCTGTTGGTTTCAGTGCTGTAAGCTGCAATGCTGTCAGTTATGTTTTCCTCTTTTGTTGCATCATCAATATTTTCAGTAACTTGTTTATTGTTTGTTTCAGCTTCCGTTTTAGAAGCAGTGTTATTGTTATCAGTTGTATTGTTAGATTTTTCAGTGCTTTCAAAAGTGTTGTTCAGATATGTTTTTACTTTCCTAATTGCAGAACTAGCTGTTGTTGAGTTAGTTTCCTCTGAATAATTTTTATCCAGCTGGGTTTCAGTGCTGTCACCAATAACCTTTCCATCTGTAGTTACCTTTATATTTTCTTTGTTGGTTGTTTCTTCATCATTGTTTTCAGTACTTGTTGTTTTTACAGTTTTCTTATTAACATTTGAATTGGTAGATTTTTCAGTGCTTTCATAAGTACTGGTCAACAATGTTGTTACATTTTTGATTGCAGAAACGTCTGTTGTTAAGCCAGTTATCTTATCATCCATATTGGTTTCAGTGCTGTTAGCATCAATGCTGTCAGTTATGTTTGCCTTTTTTGTTGTCTTCTCATTTGCTAATTTGGTTGTGTTTTCATTATTATTTGCAGTACCTTGTTTCTCAGTTGTTCTATTTTTAACTACAGAGCTTTTAGTTGTTAATTTAGTTTCCTCAGCATTTGTTTCAGTTCCTGTTGTTGTGGCAGTAGTATTGGTTAATTTTTCACTGGTTTCATCGGTATTGTTAATAGTTGATGTCTTTTTAATTGCAGAACCTTCTGATGTTTCATCTATTTCAACAGAATTATTTGTGTTTGTAGTAGTTTCAGCGCTGTTAACATCGGAAGTGCTTTCATCTGTTAAAACTTTTTCAGTTGCAGTTTCATTGTTTTGAGTCAGAGATTTGTTGTTTGCTGATTTCTCACTCCTGTTATCTACTGTTGCCTCAGTTGTGTCATCAACTTTCTGATATCTTCTCATTTCCTCGAGAAAAGCTTGTAATTCATCATCTGCATCAGTTTTTCCATCATTAACTTCATCTGTTGATTTTTTAGTGCTTTCATCATTACTTTCAGCAGACTGAGATTTGGTTGTCTCTTTGATTTCGATATCTTTCCTCTTATGATCTTTTTTAGTTCCCTGGGTAGTTTCGTCTTCACTTGTTTCAGCTGAGTCTTCAACAACAGGCTTATCTTTGTAATCTGAAATCTTGAAGTTCTCTTCAGGAGGTGGTTCTTCTATCTGACTGGAATCATTATCCTCAGAACCTGTGTTACTACCAAAATCATGTTCCTCCTGACTGTTGTTAATGTTAATGATAGCTTTGTCAAAAGCATTGGTGTAAATTTAATTGTTCACACAATACATTCATTAGCTTAAGAGAGGTTAACATAGGATATTAATAAAAACAGAAAATAAAATCAGATGATTATCTAAGTATTAAAATTTAATGATTATTTAAATTTGGGTGAAATCCACTGGCTCCCGTTTCATATGATTTAAGAGACATTTAAGGTTTACAGCCAAAGGAATTAAGCCTGAAGATTGGTGGTGTTTCATTTTCATAGCCCCCTTGGTGTCTAACTTTCTGAAGAGGAAAACAATTGTAAACTTCTTCTACTTTAAGATTTATTAGTTATTACCCTATATAGTATTCTTCTGGGAGCACGTCGTCTGCATATTCAGTATCTTCGGTATAATCTTCCTCCGAATCAATTGATTAGAGATAAGCAAATAATTGTATCAAAATGCCCCAAAATTTTACCAAATTTTTGAAAATATTTTGATTTTATCATTTGATTCCCTACTTCTTTCTGAAAGTATAAAAAGTAAATTTTAGGATAAAAATAAAATAAATTTTCCATAGTTACATCTTGAGGTCTGCAAGTTCCATGATGCAAGGTGATAATCAGCAAAAAGAGCACTAAACACAACAGTAAATGAAAAGGGCATGAAGATGTATTCCAATAATTTGTTTATAACATTGGATGTAAAATGGAGTAAAGAAAGAGGTTAAAAGAACTGTTGTTGAAATTTCCAATTATTCTTCTGTCATGCCCGATCCTCAAGATGTTGCAAGAAATGCGCAAGCAAATTTGATAGAGAAACCAAAATTGGAAAAATTCAATTTTCAAGGTAAAATCTTGGATATTTTTTTAATTCTCTCAGGCCACTCCATTAACAGAGCTTCACTTAAAATAACGTCTACGTAGCGAGTCCCAATTAATATTTACCTGAACAGCAGTTTCTCCAGGGCATCCTGGGGTTGCTAGTCACACTCCTCTTAATATCTGACTGATTAAAAAGGAATTGTTTACACAATTTTAGTTACTTTAGATAATGCTGCCTAAATGGACTGTACTCAAATTTTGTGATGGCAATGTCCGATTCACAACGATACCCTGAAATGCTTTCTCCGGTTAAGGAAAATTGATACATCAATGTTTTTCTATTGCAGGAAATCGTGTAGAAATCATCTCAATTAAAAACTTTCAATCCCAGAAAAAGATCGGATAAAGATTGAAGTGTACTTCTGTGAATGGGGCTCTGCCATCAGAATCCCCGAACTAAAAGTACTCAATGCCTGAAGGAACTGTTAAGGTAAGATGTAAGAGGGAGTGGGGAAGAAATGTTGACGTTGATCGCGACCAATACCAGCTCTATCTGATGTCCCTGTCTCGACAAATTGATATAAAACTGTGTCAAAAATGTACGCAAACTCAAATACATAATTTGGTCGACAGAGCCACGTGACCATATACTGTTATACCTTTCATACTGGTTTCGTAACACTTATATCAATTTCTCGAGACAGGGACATCAGAAAGAACTAATTTTGATCGCAATCCACTTATCAAATTTTATACCACCTTTCATTTTACCTTAACAGTACCTTTATCTTAATAAGCTTCTATATATGAATTTGGCTTGTTTGTCTGGTTGTAACCAGTAAATGTGAAAATGAAAGGTCGAAACTAAAAGGTTTTGCAAGGAGAAAAAATGTTAACATTTAGGATTTTGAATATCCAACAGAAATCCGCGAAATTTTGTGTGTACAGGAGTAAACTTAGATACGACTTAAAAATCAACAAACACAAGTTAAAATTGTAATTAAAAAAGAGGCGCGAAACGCCATAAAAGCTTTGTTATATAAAAAAGAGCTGGAAAAGTTCATGTTTAGTAAGTTAGTTTTATTCTGCTCAAACTCATTATCAAAAATGGGTTGTTAACTTCATATTCATTCAGCCCATTTTGAAGTTCCCAGCTCATAGAAGTCAGTTCAATTGGCAGATTTCATGTACAATTTGTAAACAATTCCCTTAAATTACAAAATGATTATCATGATTTATAATATATTAATCTTCTAATATGAATAAAAAATGTTGTTCCTGGAGGGAAATATTGGAACTGGATCAAGTTTCATACGTTCACTCTTCATGATTTATTGATTCTTTGAGGGTTAAACATTACTAGGATTTGTAATATGTATTCATATGTAATGTAGAAACTTGACATTCTCAGCTGACCTCAAATTTCGGAGATTTTTGAGTTACAATTTGAGAATTTTCTTCAACAATAAAATACAAAAACTAGCACCTGCAGAATCCTGCAGTTTTAGTTTTGAGTAAAATTTTGCTCGAAGGGTCTTTGTTAAGTTCATATGTCCGTGCATAGGTCAGATCAGTGTCGTTTTTTTCAAAATTCTACTTTTTTCCATTTTTGTCAATTTCACATGGTTGATATATTTGAAATAATTCTTTAGATACTTGAGGATCAAGAAAAAATTTGCGAAACATTTTTCTTTCCAAATCAAATTTAAAGCATGTTAAAATATAATATTTCTAAAAATCCCCTTATTTTCCACCAAGATTGCATGGATGCTAAGAAAGGACAAATTAGATAAAATAAATTCACAATTTTTGTATTTTAGTTCTAGTTTAACTGCTTTATCAAGATTATCATTTAAGATTCACATTTTTTATTTTATTAATTTTTTAAGGTATCCGTGAGTAAAAAAACTAATTTTTTTTAGGGTTTAGGAAAAACACCATACATATTTTTTATATTCAAGAATTTATTGCTTAATTTTTACCATGAAGAATGCTTGTATCAATACTCAATAGTAATAAAACCTGACAGTAGGACGACAAATTGAATGTCGTCTTTAATCTTTGAAAAATCTGGCATTTATGTGTAAATTTAATCTTAGAATTTAAATTCTAGAGTTAATAATCGCAAAATACATCTAGTCTTGGCATTTTGAAAATGGGGTCTGCCTTTTTTGTGCTTTCAATATTACCGAAGATAAGACAAATTTCGTTCAGATTTCGACAATTTTGGTTTCATTTTATAAAAGTGAAATTTGAACGAAATTCTTCTTATCTCCCGTAATATTGACAACACTAAAAAGGCAAACCACATTTTAGAATTGTCAGGACTAGAAGAATTTCGGGGTTATTGTTTCAATAATCATACACGTGAAAGTAGGTTGACGACTTTCAAGTCGTTTCGTGGAACACCCTGTATACTCCCAGTAATTGTTAATTATCTAAAAATTTGAGAAGAAGACGACATTTAAGAGGAAATATTTTGTTGTCTTTTTTTATACTAAATATGCAAAAAGCTTTTTTTTTTGGTATGGAACAATTTTCATTTAATCCCGCCTCTTTTAAAAATGATAATAAATAATAAAAATAATTTGTTATTTTTTCCAAAGGAATGTCATTTACTCTCAGACAAATTAGAATCAATGGAAATTTAAACCCCCGAGGGATTCAATGATAAACCCAGAGAGTAAATGATACATTTAATTATTTTATATATTTAATTTTAATTCCTTTCCCGACGGATAACATAACTCTTAAACATTAACATTAATATTAACTCTTAAAAATATTTGTCGAGAAATTTTTAAGATTAAGATTAAAATACCTATTTTGCACCCAACAGTATATCCATGAAATATTATTCTATTGCTAAATAATTCCTTGATTTATATTCAATATTTAATATAAGCCAGTCCAATACACATATGTTACATTTTTTTTAGCTTTTCACCCATCCTCTGTTCTTGCTTTAGTATAACTTGTTCCAGCATGGTGATACAGCATTATATTCTGATACAACTTCTTTTTAGGAACTTAGACTCTTATTAAATCAAGCAAATCAATTTTGGTTCACACATCGTGATCAAAATTGAAAATAATTTTTTGTTCTTCATCATATATGGAAAATTTTGTTATGGAAGTGTGAAATGATATATTAAGTAATCATCAAGATATGATACAGTGTTAAACTAGCTGTATTCTAAAGCACTATTTAGAGATTCTGGTTCAGCCATATGACGTTTATTGGATAATAATAGTTTAGACAAAAAAGATAAGCCAAGTATTATATATTTATGCATATATTATTATATATGGGATAGATTATATATATATATATATATATATATTTTCTTGAAATAAGTTCAGAACATTTTCTATTGTTTATTTAAATTAGTTTATTGCTGGACACTTTGTTTCATGTTGGAAATTCTTCAGCAGTATGATTGCGGATTTAAAAGAATATAAATGCGCATTTTAACAAAATTAAATGAGTTTAAAATACTCCCGGAAACACTATGAAGGATTCCAACTTGAACTGCTTGGGCATCCTGTTTAATGCCTTTTTGCTTGTCCCACATTACCAAGAAAATATTAATTTCTATCTAACTAGTAAAAAGCTACAATTCATTGCATTATGTTTTCTCCTTCAATCTTTCCATCTTTACCCAGGGAGAGAATGAAATTTAAAGACCATCCCATAAAGTTGTCGCCCCCAATATATATATACTTCCTGAAGAGCCTGGCGTTGCTCGTGGTAAATTTTTTTTTTGAAAATTTTAGAAATTTTTTTTTTTAACTTTTGTTCAGCCTATAACGCCACCCATGAGTGTCCACAAAAAAAATTCAGCCCAATCGGTCCAGTCGTTTGACCGGCTATATGCAACCAATATATATATATGAATGTCTTGTTTTTATTATATATAGATATATATATATATATACTGTAGATTTAGACGGGCAATATCTATATTGTAGATTTAAAAATGACAATTTGATAGGCTCCTAAAGTTTCCAACTGGAGCCTAGTAAATAGTAAAAGAACATCTCCGTTTGCTTAATTTTATATTCAATGTTAGGTTACAGTTTATTACAGTATAATTGTTATTTTTAGATCTACAAGACTAAACTTGGCTCATTGAATCGGAACTTGTACATAGATAATAAAAATTGTCTCAATCTTGAAAATCTGATTTTAAATGAGTTTGCATAGACCCTTGTGAGGAAACGGAGACTATCTTTATTTTTACCAAATTTACTTACTCTAGTTGGAAACTTTAGAAGCCTTAAAAATGGTCTTTTTTGAACCTGCAAGCCTAAAATTGGTCTAATTGAACCAGAAATTGTAAATAGATTTCAAAAATAGTCTCAATCTTGAAAACCGGATTACACACAAGTCTGTAGACCCTTATTCCCCGTTTTTTTGTGACAATGAATAATATATATGTATAATATATATATATATGGATTAAAAATAATTTAAGTGTTGAAGTTTAAGCAAGTATGTGTCCGGATCTGGTTGCAGTTTAGTCAGTGGAAATCCCGGGGTAAATATTTATTTTTTCAATTTTAGAATTTCTTGAAATTCTTTAAAAAATAGATATGAGTCAATAAATAAAACATTATTAGTGGTCAAAATTATTTTCTTTGCACTGATTATGACCGTTACACGTTCTTGGAAAGTTGAAATATTTTCCATTACACCTTTCTCACAAGTTTCAAAATTCAGTGATTCATGCTTCTTTGAATTTACTGTATGACTAGGAAACTGTATCTTTGTATCTAGGTATGTGTAGGATTAGGGAACTGTATCCTTGTATCTAGGTATGTGTAGGACTATGGAACTGTATCCTTGTATCTAGGTATGTGTAGGACTAGGGAACATTATCCTTGTATCTAGGTATGTGTAGGACTAGGGAACTGTATCCTTGTATCTAGGTATATGTAGGACTAGGAAACTGTATCCCTGTATCTAGGTATGTGTAGGACTAGGGAACTGTATCCTTGTATCTAGGTATGTGTAGGACCAGGGAACTGTATCCTTGTATCTAGGTATGTGTAGGACTAAGGAACTGTATCCTTGTATCTAGGTATGTGTAGGACTAGGGAACTGTATCCTTGTATCTAGGTATGTGTAGGACTAGGGAACTGTAACCTTGTATCTAGGTATGTGTAGGACTAGGGAACTGTAACCTTGTATCTAGGTATGTGTAGGACTAGGGAACTGTATCCTTGTATCTAGGTATGAGTAGGACCAGGGAACTGTATCCTTGTATCTAGGTATGTGGAGGACTAGGGAACTGTAACCTTGTATCTAGGTATGTGTAGGACTAGGGAACTGTAACCTTGTATCTAGGTATGTGTAGGACTAGGAAACTGTAACCTTGTCCTAGAACTCCTGAGGAATCTACAGAAACCCCTGCCACCAGGTACACTGTACAGCGGATTTAGATTTTAAAAGTTCTTGTCTCTGCAGGAATCAATAAACCCCAAATATCATTGGGATTTCGAGTTTTGAACGTATTTTGCATAACAACTAGAATCAAGTTTAAAGGGCAATTTGAGCCTCTTTTTCTTGTGACAATTAAAGCTTATAATTTTTTATTAATAAGTTTTAATTGTTACAATTACAATTATAATTTTATATTGAGATTGTCTCCATTTTATTTGCAAGATTGGATTTTCGTCGATATTTCTCCATAGAGCAATATAAAGTTTCAAACCTAAATGGTGCCTGATTCAAAAAGAAATTAGACTCTAGACAAATTTTTGAACTACAGAGTGTCCCAATAAACATGGGAATTCAGTGACGAATTCGATATAGCCTTTTTAAATAATTATTTGATTTAGTATAGTGATACCTACTGAGAAAGCTGTAATCCGTAAGAGTTTCGTCTGCTATGTTCACATTTTGTTTGTTTATGTTTTGACTGCATACGGTTGTACTTAGTAAAACAAGAAAATTGCAGTATACAAACAAAGTAAACATGTCCATCTTCACTGTTCAACCGTTCATAATGCGGAGACATTATAGACATATCTTTTACCCTTTTCATAAAATAAACTGAAGCAGACATATTAATACTATGGCTTTTTAAATTACGTATTACATTGCTAATTCATAACAAAGACGATATCCAATTCGTCACTGAATTCCCATGTTTTTTGGGACACCCTGTACTCTAAGATGTTGGAATACTTATCCGAGACTCCTTCTTCTGTGGGTCAGCTGACGGTCAGATTGGAGTCTGCTGTCCTGAGGAACACGTTCAGACACAGAAACCATTGGTAGGACAGACCCAGTAAACAATATCAGGGACATTTCCGGGAAATTTCTAATCCTCTAATTTTTACAACCTGATTATGTTTAACCTTTCTTTGATGTTTCAAACTTCACACAACTAAATATTCCAAAAATCTTAGATTGAAATATTACAGGTCTACAAAATCGGGTTGTAAAATATAGAGTTTAGAAAATCTGAGTTGGTGGCAGAATGTCAATTCAATGGGGGAATTTTTTTTCTGTAGAAATATTGATGGAAACTCTCTAGGTCAAGAAATTTCATAATCAGCAAGATCAGAGAAATTGATTAAATCTTTTTTTAATCTACAAAATGAAATCCATTATTACAAGCTTGGAAAAGAAAGAAATTTAAGTCTTTTTTGAAAATTTAAATGACCAATTAATGTAATTTCAAGTAATTTTGTTTGTTTTTAGAATTCTGTATCTTCCGGTAGCTGTGTTTATCAGGTTAAAAATCAAAATATCATTAAAAGAAAACACTTTATTTCTCATTTTTGACCATTAAAAATAGGACTGAAATACTCTGTTTTTGACAACTTATAGGCCGAATATATCCTACTGTGCAGTATGGAATAAGTGATATCTTAATTATTTTTATGTACTATGAGTCATGGGAATTCTTCGAAGAGGACAAATATACCAAATACAATAATATTATATTCAAAATATCCAAATAAGAAAAAGGAATTGAGTCTTTGACACAAACTCAAGTTTTGTAATTCCTATATCTTTGGAACCTGATGGTGTAAGCCTTTGATATTTCAAAACTAGATTATTTGATTTAACAGAATTCATGGTTTGAAATATCTAAGATTATGACATTGGGTTGCAAAGATATACGGATTAGAGTTTGTGGCAAAGACTTTATTAATTTGAGTTTTTAAAGGACTATAAGGAAGGAGAATGTGTTTTTACAGGACTATAAGGAAGGAGAATGTGTTTTTACAGGACTATAAGGAAGGAGAATGTGTTTTAAAGGACTATAAGGAAGGAGAATGTGTTTTAAAGGACTATAAGGAAGGAGAATGTGTTTTAAAGGACTATAAGGAGGGAGAATGTGTTTTTACAGGACTATAAGGAAGGAGAATGTGTTTTAAAGGACTATAAGGAAGGAGAATGTGTTTTAAAGGACTATAAGGAAGGAGAATGTGTTTTAAAGGACTATAAGAATGTGTTTTTACAGGACTATAAGGAAGGAGAATGTGTTCCCTATCCGAAATGTTTTCCATTTATAAAACTTCTGCAGAACTTACGAAAGGTAAAGAAGATGATGACTTGTCTCAAACTCTAATTTTTTATTTCATATATCTTTGCAACCGGATAACGAACGTAAACCAATTAATATAGACTGACAATACGAGAAGTTGGATTAGCTGTACAATTAATTAATAGAAGTTGGATTAAATACAATTAATCACAATGAATTGCTTTAAATCTTCAATCTCAAGACCTGCCACGAGGGTCAACCCAGGCCGAAATATATTTTCAAAAAAATGTGGATCTAACACCTACTTTATCACCTCTATGAGGTTTTGATCATCATCAACACCAAATTTTTAAATAATATTATTTTTTCTTATAAAACTAAAAATGTTCTTTTTAGCCTCTGCCCCCAGAGGTTCCAGTTATAATGAGAGAGGTAAACAAATATATATTAATTTTTCTGCATCTTTTCATATTTATATTTTAAAAAGGAATTTTTTTCTTCAAAAAAAGTGCATCTTCTTTTTAGTTATATTCTAATCATAAAAAATAATTATAAAAAAGAAGGAAACAGTAAATTTTCTGAACGTGGATTTAATACATGGAGAAGGAGACGTTGTTTCAAGTGTTAGGTCTGATTCAAACCAATTCAATCTTTGGCTGATCATCAATAAATGAGATATTAATGTTTTATTTCTACCTTAAAATTGATTATTAAGTGGTTTCTCTAAACAAGTGAATTGTAAAAAAATTAAGGCACAATTTATCAGCTAGAAAAACGATGATATCTTTTAAATATTTAATCGAATATAGGTTTAGTTGGTACCATGGTGAATTTGACAAGCCCCTTGTTAACTGAAGGGTCACTTGAAATTACAGTTTAATTATGGTTTAGGTTTATCTGTGTGGGAAAGATAGATCTACCGGAATACCAAAAATTTGCTGTCCCTCGGATGGAATCATTGATAACAATTTCTTAGGTAGAATTTTTCTGAAAAAAAATACATTTATTTCTAATTTTAGAAAAATTGTTCTTCTGGCAATTCCTCGCGTTAAAAGTAATAGTGCAAGTATCAGTTAGAATTCCGCTCAACATACGCATTTTTTGCGAACTTTTTGAAACGCAAAAATTGCGCAATTCGCGTGGACACACAAATTTCCAACGACTTTTCCAATACTCTGGAAACCCTACCTGTAGCCAGACCATTTAGTGATATCCATCCAATCAGGGGAGCCATGAATTCAACCAATCTGGTATATGTATATCTTATTGAGTCACTCTCTACTGGAACCCACTATTTCTTTGGTCCGTGTACAATTGCTGTACACAACTAAAGCTTGGGGTCGTGGTGTACATAGCGCACATTGGAAATTGTAGCTAAATACAAGCAGGTTTCGATTACACACACATATCTCTGTAGTCGACATAAACACAAAAGCTTAAGTGTACCGTTGTAAACATAGATAAATAAATAAGCATAGATAGCTTATGTACGCAAAATCACCAAGAACTGTACAGTCCGCGAACTCATACTTCTAGGGGTCAAACTGTACTTCAATGATAAGCGGGGTGGTTTGGTGTTTTAATGGATTTCATAATAGAGTGTAAAATAACTCCGGGAATGGAACTATTTGAACAACAATAATTCTTTGAGCAATATATCATATTGACGAGAACTGAAGAAGGACATGCGAAAGACTAAACTTAAATTTCTCTCTATACAGAACTCATGAACACCAAAAGTACTCAATGGTATAAGAACAGCCAATGTTCACAACCGACCTAGTTAATCTATATAATAGGAATAACTTTAAAACATCTCTGTACATTTATATCTTTCAAGATGAAAAATGTCTTCTTATGCGCAATCTATCTTTATCTATGGTTGTAAATCGCTAATTGAGAATTGTAAGGGGAGTGACTAAAAGTTAATATTGTACGGGCGAGTGACTAAAAGTTAATATTGCAGGGGAGTGACTAAAAGTTAATATTGTACGGGGAGTGACTAAAAGTTAATATTGTACGGGAAGTGACTAAAAGTTAATATTGTACGGGGAGTGACTAAAAGTTAATATTGTACGGGGAGTGACTAAAAACATAAAAATCAATTTTTGTTAGATATATAAAAAACTTTTTTTAATTACAAGGAAGTGTGGAAAGTCCAAAAACAGGAAATGAAACTACGACTGCAACAACAGCTGCAACTACAACTACAACTACAACTACAACTACGTTAACAAGAACTACAACTACAGCTAAAACAATTGTAACAACATCTTCACAAACAACATCTTCACAAACAACATCTTCAGAAACAACATCTTCATTCACAAACAACATCTTCACAAACAACATCTTCAGAAACAACATCTTCACAAACAACATCTTCAGAAACAACATCTTCACAAACAACATCTTCACAAACAACATCTACACAAACAACATCTTCACAAACGACATCTTCAGAAACAACATCTACAACAACAAAAACAACAAAGAAATCATCATCTTTAAAAGAACATCCAGGTGCAAAATTAAATTCTCAATAACGTAAAAAAACATCCTTTTTTTAAATATAAAATTTAGGACTGAAATTGCTGAGCAACTTAGATACGTGTGGACGTTCATTGGTTCTGCAAAGGCAACTAAAAAACATTTTTATTAATTTATAAAAAAAACATTTATCAAAAAATTGTATTTGATCAAATCAACAAATATTTTCCCTGCATATTGTTTGAATTCATCTTAAAAGCAGCAAAACAAGAAAAAATAGATTTTATTAAAAATAGATTTTATTAAAAATAGATTTTATTAAAAATAGATTTTATTAAAAAAATAGATTTTATTTAAAAAAAATAAGTAGATACTTGTTTCACTGGTAAATGATTGTATTGTTGATTAAGAATAGTTGGAGGGAAGAAGGCTAGCCTTGGACAATATCCTTGGTTAGCTAACATTGGATATTCAGGTAGTATAGATATCCTTGGTTAGCTAACATTGGATATTCAGGTAGTATAGATATCCCTGGTTAGCTAACATTTTATATTCAGGTAGTATAGATATCCTTGGTTAGCTAACATTGAATATTCAGGTAGTATAGATATCTATGGTTAGCTAACATTGGATATTTAAGTAATATATATATCCTTGGTTAGCTAATATTGGATATTTAGGTAGTTTAGTGTTAACTTTAACGTTTTCCAATCAAAGATCTAGTTTCCCGCATCTTGTTTCAACCAACAATTTAAATCATGAAGTCTCATTTGTTAACGGTATCTCCGTTACGTCACTTTTCCCAGCGGCTAACCCTATTTATAATTTGTACACATTTACAATGGTAGGTGATTATGTCAATATAATGAAGACGACTTTAGATTTCAATTTTGACTTACATCATGCCAAACATGTCAACAAAGAGAAGCTGTCAATTAAAAAAGCTTCTCTTTAATTACTTGTAAACTTTTAATGAAAAAAAGCTGGTTAACAATTAAATCTTAAATAAAAAAGTCGTCTTCATTATACTGCTATAATCGCCTACAGGGTATCCCACGAAACATGACAGTTGGTGAATAGTATAAAATGTCTTCTTCCATATTTTGTTAAGCTATTCGATACCAAAGAGAATAATAAACAATATCATATAGCAGTCATATTATAAAAAAAAATTATTTCAAAGTAAAGTATATTTGAATAAAAGTTTTTTTAACGAATTAAACTGCGAAAAGTCTTTAATATCTAATACAGTATATGGAAGAAGACATTCAAAACTATTCACAAACTCTCATGTTTCGAGGGACACCCTGTAACACCGTACAATTTTTTTTCTAGTTTCTGGGAGCAGCAAAGTAGAATTCAAATGCGGTGGAACATTGATAGGTAAGTAATTAAACCAAATCCGGGGTGTATACAGGGAAGGGCTGGGGGGTAAATCACCCCTGTCTAGAATGAATGAATCAATCAATACTTCCTGATTCCAGTTTGTCAATTTAATTTAAACTGACTTTCCAAACAAAGTGACAGATTTGTTTCTTTTCTAAAATTGTCGTTCATCAATTTTAAAGGAGAAACTTTATTTAATTTTTTAATTTTTTATTTCTAATATTTCCCATTTTTTATTGAAATACAAACAAAGCATTAGATAATACAAATAAATTCAGCGAAAATTAGAAATATATTATTGTCACTTAGAATGTGCAAAGGACTTAAACAAGTACGTAATGTATGCAGGAATTTGTGAATTTGCTTAACTTTTTCGACATTCCAGGGAGGGTATGGAAATCATAGATTTCACTTTTTAAGCCCCTTTTCCTTTATTTCCCCACCCCTGTATACACCTCTTGACACTTCTTCAGTGTAAACTAGTTTAAATACCTTGCAGCTGCTACGCTTTTATACAGTTTAACACAGAACTTTGAGAGTCATCGAAATAATTTATAAATGTCGTCTTCATAATTTTTCAATGGGTTTAATACTATCATAACAAAATCTTAGTGATTGTAAAAACAGTTTGTAAGAGCTCAAAATAATTATTCAATAAAAAAGATAAATATCTGCAGCACTCCATTATCAGTATAAATTCTTTTGACTCTCTGAAGTTCTTGGTTAGACAGATTTAAATTTTAAAAAAACATTTAACAGACGAATAAACAAAAATGTTGATCAAATTAAAATTTCAAAAAATTTTTATAAAATAGATTTTTTATAAAGTTTCGATGGCTTGTTTCTATTTTCAAAAAAATTGAAAAAGTCATGATTTAATGTGTGATTAACATCACGAAAAAAAAATACAAAATAATAATGATTCGTTTGTTATTAGGAATTCCGGATTCGCTGCGCCTCTTTTTAAGGCTTTGACTCGCTTTGCTTATTAACAGATTATCACTAACCCTATCCCGATTATCACTAACCCTATCCCGATTGGGTATATATTTTTGCCTAATATGAAATGAGATAAGGGAATTTGATACATGTCCCAGTCCAACTTTTCAAGGCCAGCAAATTAAAAAATATTTTATCTCTAACTTTAATGTTTAAGATGCTACGGAGATAAAAAAAATTCTAAAAGTACATCAAAAAATTGTTGAAAAATATTTTTTTTTTCGACAAATATACTCATCTAACATGTGTTACTGTATCCATTTTTCAAGGGCTTTTTAAATAAGTAAATTTTATATCTGTACCTCAAATACTAAAAAGCTTTGGAGTATTTTTGACTCTTTTTGACCGTCCTCTACCCTATACCCTATGCAGCATTAGACAAATTTTGTTTTTGATAAATGTTTTTTCATTAATGATGTTGAACAAGTTTGAGCGCTCTAGTGTAGCCAAGTGGGGGTGGTGGAAAACCCCCCCCCCCCCCTCCCCATTCGTAATAGGGTTAAGACTAAGTGTGATATTTTATTTTGAAGAATTCTATAAAAGATCTATCAGTGGAATCTGCCAAAAGAAATTCTTGAATACAGTCGTCGTCAAAACAATGAAGACGACCTTCGAATTCAATTTTTTTTACCAAGCTTTCAAACAGCATGGAAACCAAAAGAGGGTGTCAAATAACTCTCTTTGTCTACTTGTAAACTTGTTATTTGAAGAAAGCTTGGCAGAAATCAAAGCTTAAATAGAAAAGTCGTCTTCATTGTATTGATATAAACGTGGACCACCGTAGTTTAACACTGATAAACACGAAAAGTTTATAACGCCTTTTTTCTGGGCTAATTGCACAGATGAAGATCGTTTATAGTATTCTTTAGTTAAATTAGTTGAGTTTAGTTGAATTTAGTACAATTATGATAACTTATGAGGAAAAAACTATTTACTTGCCTATTACCCTTATGTTTAAATCCTAAAAATAAGGTTGCAAATATCTAAGGCTAACAAAATATAAGCTTGAAGCAAAACAATCCTTTAATTAATCTTTAACTTAACAGTATCCATAAATAGTCTTTTTTTTCAAACTCAAATCAACTTAAAAAAAAAAATAAAATTCGTCAATTAATTTTACAAAGGCCAAATTTAAAATCTGTAAAAAATTTTGAAATTCACCGATTTTTAATTGAGTAATATGCTTGTAGTATGAATATTGCCATGACCATATATGGTCATATATATATTACTATCCAACCTTATTTCACTAAATGTTTGTAATTTGTGAAGGATTTTTTTCTCTAAAAATCATATTTTAAATTTATAAATCTGGTTACCACTGACATTTTTTCTTTAAATAATGGCTCTAGTATTCACATTGTACAATGAACATTAGCTTTTTGTGATGTTAAAATGATTTTGTAAAATTGTCTGCTTGAAATAAATATATTAGAATAATAATGAATTTTAACATGAGGTTTAAATCATAATTTTGGAAAAACAAAAAGCTTGCTTTAGTCTTAATCTTAAAAATTCATCTTAAACTATTTTATTTATAAATAATTATTAAAACATGTGTCAGTAAATTTTCTAAATCATAAAAGAAAATAAGTTTGAGAAATAAATAAGCGAAACTTCTAGTGGACCTACATACAAATTGATGACAATTGCCGATTTACAACGATACCATTAAATCCTTAATATACAGCCAAAAATGAGGAAGATACCATCGTTTTACTGACTGGAAATTTGTACAGTTCTGATAATGCTTTTTAAAAGCAAACATGCGTAAGTCACTTCTGCAGAGAACCTGCAAACGAAAATAAACCGGTTAACTAAAAACAAGAACATGGATATATATAATTTATACTTGAGCAGACAAAGCATTTAAGTGTACTGTTGTAAATCGGGCATTGTCATCTTTGCTTCGAGGGTCAATTAAAATTACGCTTACAATTCCTTTCAATCATATTTTTTAGGATTTCTTCCGAAAACTTTGCAACTTTGACAAATATTATTTTAGGAAGACGACATATTCTTACAGCAGCCCACTGTGTCGCCAGCCTTCCTAAGGACTACCTTTTGTAAGACATAATTTGATATATTTTCTACAAATAATAAACCATATCTAACATAGGCCTTGAATTACTTTTATGTCCTCATACAGGGGTCACCCAAATAAAATGGAATCTAAAGAATGCAGAAAAGTTTATTAAATTATTTTGGACGATTTGGACCTTAAATTAGGAGTTAAGCCCGGCTAAAGATATGCATGATAGTTATTACTGCTTCTTTTTGAAAATTTGTAAAGTTTAATTACAATAGTTATTATAATTTGTACTTGTAGTGTGACACAAATGTTGACATTTTACAACCTCTTTTAAACATAAAGTTTTAGACTCATGGCTCAACAGTCTAAAATAATATTTTCAATTACATTTAGACTTTTTTATTAAAAAATATAAAGTATAAGTAATTCTTTATAGAAACTTAATTTATAAACTTGCGTTCTGCGGATATCACGGGTTGTACTCATAGAGAATAGAATATATAGAGAGGAATTAAAAGAATCTCTCGGTATGAATTTTTTCAGTTCTGAGAAAGCTGTAATCTGTAAGAGTTTCGTCTGCTATGTTTACATTTTGTTTGTTTATGTTTTGACTGCAACCGGCTGTACTTAGTAAAACAAGAAAATTACAGTATACAAACAGAGTAAACTTGTCCGTATTCACTGCTCATCTTGCGGAGACATTATAGACACATCTTTGCAGTCTTTTACCCTTTTCATTAAATAAACTCTAGCAGACATAATAATATTAAGGATTTTGAAATTAGGTATTACAATGCTAATTCATAACAAAGACGATATCGAATTCGTCACTGAATTCCCATGTTTTTTTGGGACACCCTGTAGCATAAATATGTGAAGTACACCTGCAGTATGGAAACAGTACAACAAAATGGCCGTTTTACACTTTTTTCCATTAAATTCCTCTCTATATATTCTATTCTCTATGGTTGTACTAAAATACAATCAAAATAGTTATCAAGATATTTGTATTATTTCAGCTCAAAAGTTATCGTTCCTCAAGTCAAGGTTTGATTGACATTGTTCTTCATGATACTCTTTTAATCAAAGGGTCACGATTTTTTCAAGCAAATCATAATTTAAACGTGTTTTTTTTATTTCCAAACGAAATCCTCGCAATCTTATACCCCCCCCCCTATCACATTTTCATTTGCGAAACAGAGATAAACTGAAGTTTACTATATATAACGTACTGTTGCTTTTAACAAAACTCAATTACATGGGAACAAAACACTGAACTAAGTTTCCCTTCTTCCTCTCCCTATTTTGTATTTTCTCCAATTTATGTTTTAAAAGAAAATTCAATTCTAAAATAAAACAGTGTCTTTAACTTTCTCCAGCTTTCAGGTGTTCACGTTAAACTAATCTACAACCAAATATAGATCCTGAGGCCGAATTTAAAGAATTTAAGCGACAGCTTAAATTTAAGCCGGGGCTAAAATAGGGTTTGTTCCACTTAAATTTGTATTCAATTTTTCAATATTTAAGCCGGCGCTCAATAGAAACCGGTTTTTGGGGGATTTTAGACTCGGCTTAAATTCATTAAATTCGGACATTGTCTGGATTGGAATGTTTTCATTTATATTTGATATCTAATTCTAAATACGTTCAAAATAGCGTAAAAAGATTGTTCATACTTTGGTATTTATAATTTATGTCCCAACAAAAAAAAAATAAAGAAGTAAACTTTAAAAAAGTCTTCTTTTACTGGGTGAAAATTGGGTTTAAAGTTAAAGCTCACTAAACAAGAACCCTAATTTACCGTGCTTTCAATACATTAGATGGCTGTCTTTTGCAATAGATTTACTTTATACAAGCTTGAAAGGATTGCACATGAAAGTAAATCACTCGTGACAAGCTGGGTTGACGCATTTTTTCTATTTAATTTTTTTTAATTACGAAAGATCGAAATAGTGCTTTAGAAAACATGAAACCTCAAAGAAAATACTATAAATTTGTCATATTGGAGTTTTTGTTTCTTACTTTACTCCAAAATCCAATAAAGGATGAAAAAGGGGATAAAGGATCTAATATATAATCAGTGCCTCAAAATTTTTATTTTCGAATCACAATATCTTTGCAACCTGATAATGCAAACCTGTGATATTTCAACTATAGACCGGTTAATCTTGCTGAATACAATAGTTGGAAATCGGAACCAAACTGCAAAAACATAAACTTTAGAAAATTACAGTTTGAGGCAAGTGTACAATTCCTTTTAATTTTAAAATTGTTTTTTTTTCAGTACTGCAGTTCGGGTGGGAGAGTATGATATATCCAACACTATCCCAGATTGTGATAAATATGAAAACTTTTGTGCACCCCTTCCTCAGGTATACAGTGGTCTATTTGACTACCCCTTCCTCAGGTATACAGTGTTCTTCTCGACTACCCCTTCCTCAGGTNTGAGATTTTGTCATAGATTTCATTACTTGTAACTGATTCAATTCGAAAAATGCTCTGAACAGTGAACAACCTTTTCATCCTTATCACAGGGGTGTAATTTGCTTTAGTTGTCTAGAAATTTTAAACTCATGTTATACTTCTAATAAGATTTCTAGTATCTGATTAATTTTATGTCCTATCAACTTGGGAACCCAGCGTGGTCCAGGGGAGTCATAGTTAGTCCCACCGTTTACCCGCCCATTGTCGTAAATTACGATTTTAGCTATTTTCCCCGTTAAAAGTGGACTCACTCAACTTAGAATCTCAAAACCAAGCTAAGAACGTTCTCGTGGGTGTCCCGAGCAAACCAAACAAAATTTGAGGAAAATAGGTCCAGGTGTTCCTTGTTAGACATACAAAAAAAAGAGAGATTACAACCTTGTCTTCATAGATGAATTCATTGAATTCTGTATTATCAATATCCATAGATTCCCAATACAGAGCTGAACACTTTATATTGGTGGAAATCGAGATCAATGCTTGATCTCCTCTTTATCTTAAAATTAAATTTAACTTGTTCTCCGCTTGTTATTAATCTCCATATTAATTAACAGATCGGGATTAAGGCTATCCCATTCTAAAGTTTTCAGCTCTGAATCTATATTTTAGGATTATAAACCAGAATTGGTTTTAATACACCCAGAATACAGAATACAATAACCCGTATATACAGAATCTATATTTAGGATTATAAACCAGAATTGGTTTTGATACACTTAGAATACAGAATACAATAAACCCTTAAATACAGAATCTGTATTCTAGGATTACAAACCATAATTGGTTGTAATATTCCCAAAATACAGTATACAATAAACCCTTTTATACAGATTCTGTATTTTAGGATTATAAACCAGAATTGGTTTTAATATACCCAGATTACAGAATACAATAAACCCGTGTATACAGAATCTGTATTTTAGGATTATAAACCAGAATTGGTTTTTATACACCCAGAATACAAAATACAAAACCCTTATATACAGAATCTGTATTTTAGAATAATTGTTAGTAAAATACTCAGAATACAGAATACAATAAACCTTTATACACAGCATTTTATTTTAGGATTATAAACCAGAATTGTGTTTGTTACACCCAGAATACAGAATACAATGAATCCGTATATAGAGAATCTATATTTTAAGATTATAAACCAGAATTGGTTTAAATACACCCAGAATACAGAATACAATAAACCCTTAAATACAGATTCTGTATTTTAGGATGATAAATCAAAATTGTTTAACACACTCAGAATACAGAATATACCCATGATTATATGATGTTATATATGTTATCGTTAAAATTGTTATGCTAATGTTTCCTTCAGAAATATATAATTTGAGTTTAATTGAATTAAATACAGAACCTGTATTTTAGGATTATAAACCAGAATTGGTTTTAATACACCCAGAATACAGAATACAATAAACCCTTATATACAGAATCTGTATTTTAGGATTATAAACCAGAATTAGTTTTGATACATTCAGAATACAGAATACAATAAACCCTTATATACAGAATCTGTATTTTAGGATTATAAACCAGAATTGGTTTTAATACATCCAGATTACAATAAACCGTACAGGTTTAATAATGATATTGCTCTGATTAAGATGGAAAAAGATATTGTAGAATCAGGTAGGTTTTAATTCAATTCAAGTGAGTGCTCCAAAAATAATGTTAAATACAACGACGACTTTTTGCAGCATAAAGCTTTGTAAACAAAAAGTTTTCAAAATTTACATATTTACAGTCGTCGTCGCATATATCAATACAATGAAGATACTTTAGATTTCAATTTTTAACAGGATTAATACAAAGAGAAGCTGTCAATAAGCAGCTTCTCTTTGTTTATTTGAAAAAAGCTTGTTATAAATTAAAACTCAGATATAAAAGTCGTCTTCTTTGTCTTGATATAATCGCCAACCACTGTAGATAAATTGTTTGGGCAAGCATTCGTTAACAGTAACAAAATCTTAAAAATAATTAAATTAACTGTTGATGTATTTCACATGACCCTCCTCAAAGTTAAATGGCATTTAAGATTCACAAGTTTAAACCTTTATTTGAGGAAGATAGACAAAGACGATATCTTTCTCATTGTTACTCAGATAGAGGTTTTATATGGTAACATTGTGATTCGGACATTCCAGACTTTTTTTTTAAAATTGCGACTGAAAAACCATTGTATTTCTTAAAAGCATTTTATAAAACCTGTTTAAGATTTTGTATCTCCAATATGTTTACCTCTACCCTCTGTCTTCAATGTGGATTATGAGGATAGGACCCCTGAGGTGGCAGGCTGGGGGGCCATTGATATGTATGCAAGAAAGTTAGTATATTTTAAACAATTAGGAAAAAAATGGAAGTCATTAATTAGTCCGATGAAACAAGAAATAGTCCTTTAATTGTTCTTGAATCTGACACATTTTAAAGTTATTAATTATGATACAAATAACCACAATTTCTGATTTTCGAATCCTTATAATCTTTGCAACCCGACGTCGTCGACCTTAGATATTTTAAACTATGAACTCTGTTAGATCAAATAGTGTTTGGACTGTGCATAGTTTAAGTTTAAAACATCTAAGGTTAAAACTTAGCTTAGGTTGGAAAGGTATATCAGGGGTTAGCAGTTTTGACTTTGTGGCAAAGAGTCAATTTCTTTGTGAGGAAAAATAAATGTTTCTCACATCTGTCTGTTCTAGTTTTAGTGATGTTCTTCAATACGTTTCTGCTCCAATCTTTGAGTTTGAAGCCTGCTCAGGTTATAATGATTGTAACAAATAGTTCTTGATTTTTATATTTGATTTAAACATCTTCAAACCTTTTTCTTTTTCATTAGCTTGTAAAAAGTCATAATATTGGGCTTATAAAATCATGTGTACTTAAAGTTTTATTTTGCAAAACTTTGTAAAAATTAATTTTTTTTTCTTTTTGTGATAGCCCTGTATCTTCGTTAGAGTAAAAGTGTTGAAAATGTATTATAAGAAAACTTAAAGAGTAGATATATACAAATATGAAATGTACTGAACATCTCAAATAGTTTTAAGTCCTATTAAAACTAAAAAACGTTTATTGGCCATCTCTAGTCATACATACTTCAGCACTGTACAGCAAACAAAGGGTGAAGCTTCTCGAGTCACAAATATGCGCTGGAGGAAGAAAAGGTCAGGATTAAAGTTTGGATCGAGAAATCATTAGTGTGTCTAAAAATTTCAGCTTAAAGTTTGGATCGGACAATTACAAGCATACATCATTCAATTGAATCTCCCTAGAAGGGGCTGATTCATTTGGTATACTGTCCCAGGGCCGGTCTACTTATTTAGTCTGTAAGTGTACTGTACTGCTTGCACTTGCAGCTTGGAATTCAGCCCGGTACTGGAAATGAAACTGAGTTTACAGTGCATTTGTTTAGTTTACAGTTTGGGGTTAGTAATCATCAGCTTGCAAGATATGCTCAACTTAAAGTTTTGAATAAGTAAGCGAAAGCTTTCCTTAACCATTTAGCTTAAAGCGTAAAGTACGTAATCAAAAGCTTTCATTAAAAAGTTTGCCTCAAATATTTAGCTTTCCTTTGGATTAAGTAATCATAAGTTTGCATCAAACGTTTAGCTTAAAGTTTGGATTAAGGAATCAAATTCTTTCATCAAACTTGAGATAACTTGCTAAAAGGTGCTATTATTCATGCCAAGAATAGATACTGATAAAATGGCTCAGTTATCACAGGCATATTTAAAGAAAAATAATTGCATTTGAATTATTTAAATGATCCCTTTTTTGAAAGACTTGAAATTATTCAAAGTATTTAATTCAAAATGGCGTCTCAAAGGTATCTACTGAGCCTTTTAAAATTGCGCAATATTTCAGGAGAAGACAGCTGTTCGGGGGATTCCGGTTCCGGTCTTATGATGGACGTTGAGATCAATAACAGACCATATGATCCTAGATGGATACAGGTCAGAAGAAATAATATCACCTTTTTTTGAGTCTAAATTATTGTTTTCTAGATTGGTGTTGTTAGTTTTGGACCTCGTCGTTGTGCTACTCTCGGAGTTCCCGCCGTTTATACAAATGTTACGTCATACATTCCTTGGATTCTAGATTCTGCACTTCTTTAATCTGAAGTTTCATGTTCTTCACTGATTCTAGATTCTGCACTTCTTTAATCTGAAGTTTCATGTTCTTCTCTGACTCTAGATTCTGTACTTCTTTAATCTGAAGTTTCATGTACGACTCTGACTCTAGATTCTGTACTTCTTTAATGTAAAGTTTCATGTTCCTTGGACTCTAGATTCTGTACTTCTTTAATCTGAAGTTTCATGTTCTACTCTGACTCTAGATTCTGTACTTCTTTAATCTGAAGTTTCATGTTCTTCTCTGACTCTAGATTCTGTACTTCTTTAATCTGAAGTTCCATGTTCTTCTGTGACTCTAGATTCTGTACTTCTTTAATCTGAAGTTTCACGTTCTTCACTGATTCTAGATTCTGCACTTCTTTAATATGAAGTTTCATGTTCTACCCTGACTCTAGATTCTGTACTTTTTTAATCTGAAGTTTCATGTTCTTCTGTGACTCTAGATTCTGTACTTCTTTAATCTGAAGTTTCATGTTCTTCTCTGATTCTAGATTCTGTACTTCTTTAATCTGAAGTTTCATGTTCTACTCTGACTCTAGATTCTGTAGTTCTTTAATCTGAAGTTTCATGTTCTTTTCTGACTCTAGATTCTGTACTTCTTTAATCTGAAGTTGCATGTTCTACTCTGATTCTAGATTCTGTACTTCTTTGATCTGTAGTTTAATGTTTGACTCTGACTCTAGATTCTGCACTTCTTTAATGTAAAGTTTCATGTTCCTTGGACTCTAGATTCTGTGCTTCTTTAATATGAAGTTTCATGTTCTACTCTGACTCTAGATTCTGTACTTCTTTAATCTGAAGTTTCATGTTCTACTCTGACTCTAGATTCTGTACTTCTTTAATGTCAAGTTTCATATTCCTTGGATTCTAAAATCTGTACTTCTTTAATCTGAAGTTTCATGTTCTTCTCTGACTCTAGATTCTCCACTTCTTCTGCCTTAGGGTTATTGTGAACGAAAAACGAAAAAATCTTAAAAATACGACATCTAGTGTTATTGTTATTAATTTCTTTCGTATTAATGCTGTACAGACAATGAAGTAAAATGTGAGAATTTTTTACTTTCAAGATAGAAAAACCACGATATCTTTTTCATTGTTACAGAGGTAAAGATGTAAAGGGATTTTTTTGTGAATTTAAATGGAGACTTTCTTAAAATTACTCCCACAGTTCTTCCAGTAGATCATTTTATGTGTTTGGTATACTTCTTGTAATTTAAAACTTATAAATTGTATGTGAAATAAATTTAAAAGTTTGTATCATTTTATGCTTTTATAGAAAAATTTAAATTTTAAAAAATTTATTTGTATTATAGACTCTCAGATTATAGATACTATAATTTCTAAAGTCTGAGTAAAGACTTCAAGGTACTTAAGTGTCTTCAAACTGTAAAAATATAAGTTTACCATAGCTAGGAGAGCTGGGCCTGGGCATGTTCCATTGAGACATGAAACTGTTAACTTAAGAATCGTCAACTAACGGAAAAAGCTGTTTTCGAAAAAAAATTGCAAAAACGAAACGAAGGTGTTTTAAAATAATGGCAACTCCGTTCCTTTTTTCTGCTATTTCTGTTAATTAGTGTTTTTGAATGGTGTCTTCAAATTTTTTCAGCTTTTTTTCATTAAATAATTGTTAACGGCTTGCACTGTCAAGGATTACTAATATATCTGCCGTTAACGCCATAAATAATATTGAGATCGTTAACAAACAGTACATTTTAGAAATAACGGAAGATACTGTTAACATAACGAACGTTCCGTTTAAGGCTAGGAGACGAACAGCTTTCTAAAAAAACGGCTAACCGTTAACAGAATGGCTTTAAAAAAGTCAGAACGTTCCCAGCCCTAATCATAGCTAACATCTATAGCATCATTTAAATATCCATGACACACTCCAGATAATTTTCTATTTTGTACAATATGGAAGCTTTCAATGCAATGAGTGTAATGGGTCGTATTACAAATTACAGCAATTTGAAACTTAATGGAGCGGATTTCTCTTATGTATTTTTGATGTCAAAAATAAAATGTTTATTCATTTTTAAAATTTTTTAAAGACATAATTTGTGTATATTTTATGTATACAGGGTGTCCCGAAAAACATGGGAATTCAGTGACAAATTCGATATCGTCTTTTTAAATAAATCTTTGATTTAGTATGGTGATACCTACTGAGAAAGCTGTAAAGCTGTTTCGTCTGCTTCTGCTATGTTCACATTTTGGTTGTTGTCATAACAAAGACGATATCGGATTCGTTCACTTAATTCCCATGGATATAAGCTTGTAGAACGCTTTGCGTCCCTTGTCTACAGTTTTTTAGCGTTTAGCGACTATAACCGTTGCTTTTCCTACAACTGAGTGTCCCATTAAAACATCACAAAAACTTAAAGGCCATCTATGATCTAAAAAATAATCGTAAACCTACATTTTAATTCAATAGTTATAATAACCTCAAAATAACCTTAGTCCTATCTAGCGTTTCCAAAATGTTAATTGCCTTTTTTTGTGTTTTCAATATTACCTGCAGCGGAGATATGAAGATTTTATTTTCAGGTTTCGACGATTTTGGTTTTATTAATAAATTAAAATCTGAACGAAATTCATCTCTGGTAAAATTGACAGCACAATACAAAGAAAGAGGCAGACTGCACATTTTTTGAAATGCCATGACTTGGAGAGTTTTGTGATTATTATTTTTAAGTAAAAAAAGTTTTTAATGAACGAATGCCGCAATAATTTAAAAGATCTGATATGACCTTCAAGTCGTTTTTATACTGTCAAGTTTCGTGGGAAATCCTGATATTCTATTTGTTAAATATTCTAGCTTTTACTATGATTTAGCTGCAATTTTCCAGCCCTCCTAGGCGAGGCAGTCTGAGCTAAATCAAAGCTAGAAAATGTCTAACGAATCAAAGGGTTCAATCTTGGCCTGGTGGTACTGGGAGCACTCCAATGGTTAATAATAAAGAGCTATTAAAAGGAACAAAACATGTTTGAATTTCTTTTATGTATCTGTTTAAAGAAACCGAGTTTATGCCTCAAACTCAAATTTTATAATCCCTCTATCTTTTCAACCTGATGATGAAAACCTTTGATATTTCAAACTTATACTATTTAATCTAAAAAAAATCAGTGTTTGAAATACCAAAAGTCTTCGACAGCAAGTTGTAAAGATATTTTAAACTTACACTATTTGATCTAAAAAAATTCATAGTTTAAAATATATATATTATTATTATATAATATTTTGCATGCGTGAGATTTTGCCATGCACAACTCTTAATTAAAATAAATTATTTTTAAAGTTAAAAATTAGTTTAAAATATCAAAAGTCTTCGATAGAAAGTTTCAAAATATAGGGGTTAGAAGATTTGAGTTTGTTTACTTCATACTTGAGCGATACATAGTTTGCAGTGTGTATATTCCATTATTAGGATAGAATTAGAAGAATGGAAATATCGGTTCTCTGGTTTTCAATTTGTTTTTGTGTCTTCCCTGAAATCTTGAGATTTCCCCTAGGAGAGATAGATATGAAGATAGGGAGGTATGACAGCAGAGTAAATAGAGTTAAAGATAGATATTCTTCATGGACTAACAAATACAAGGAATTGTCAATTTTTCCTGGTCATACTAAAAGGATATTCTTCATGGACTTGAAAACTACAGAATGTTCAAATAAACTTGGGAGTGACGATTTTGAAATCGTCTTTGTAATGATTTTTTTAATTTAGATGGCGATGCCTACTTGGAAAGGTAATATAAAAATGTTTTGTCTTCTGGAGCCAAAAATTAGTTTGTTTATGTTTTGATTGCATACTGTTGAAAAATGAGCAATTTCCGTACAGAAGCACATGGTTGTTCCTCTTTTTAAGACGCACATGTTAACTGTACTATTTAAAGTCATAAATTGAGTGAAAGTATTTATTCATATTCCAGAGTTTTCTGGTTATCACTGTAACAGATGTAACTTTATTTTGACCAATGAAATTAGGAAATTCAATGCTAGTTCTTAACAAAGATGATTTCAAAGTCGTCTCTTTCTTCCCATGCTTTTTTTGGGACATCTTGTATATTTTCCAGGGGCTGGGAATAAAGGACTTATTATAATTTATATAACTATTCTTCATTGACTTGGAATACCAAGACTTATCATAACATTAAAATTATAAGTGGAGAAATACAATGATTTATCATGACATTCGAAGGAAATGCTTCATATAGACTTGGGAATACAAAGACTTATTAATGTAGATAAATATTTTTCATAGATATGAGAATACAAGGAATAATTTTAATCTATTGGATTAATCTTCAGGGCTTAGAAAAACAAGGACTTATCATTACAATTGATGGAAATTCTTCATGATCTCTTCTTAGGTGTTGCTGTGTTATCAAGGAAAACCAGGAACGTGCAATTACATTTTGAAGGAAAAGTAAAACAAATTGAACTGTTTGGGTTGTGTCAAAAAAAATGAACCTACCTACTTGAAAATCTATCCTTCTATTTATCTATCTATATCTATCTATCTATCTATCTATCTATCTATCTATCTATCTATCTATCTATCTATCTATCTATCTATCTATCTATCTATCTATCTATCTATCTATCTATCTATCTATCTATCCTAATATCTATCTTTCTATCAATCTATCCGTCTATCTACCTATCTATCCTTCTATCTATCTATCTATCTACCTATCTATTCTTCTATCTTTCTATCTATCTATTGTTGGTTTAACTATTTTATACAAATGGTTTACGTTATAAACATGCATAAAGATTAAAATCTAATAATAAAATAAATTAACTTTGCCAGAACATTTCCCTTTCCTTAAATAGTGCATTCAGTAATATTTCAAAGCCTCGTTTTTTTCAAATTAATTTGTTTTGATTTCTGGATTAATTAAAAAATTAAATTGAAAAAATGAAGAAAAAAGTAATAAAATATCTATTTTTATATTTCACAATATTAAATCAAGAAATAGATATTAAATATCAATTAAAAGAATTGACGTTGTGATTTAATTGTAATTGTCATTTTAACTGGGACCTTTTATTTTAATTGAAAAAAGGCAACTTTCAAAAAAGAAGATAATTGAAAATATATTAAGCATTCTTGATCAGAAAAAAACTATTATAATTTATAATTATATTATTATGTATTATATATTATATTATATTATTATAATTGTAAATAGGAGATTCCCCTGTCTGAATGAAGAGTCACTTTGAATACTCCCATAATCCCTTTAAAAACGTAAAAAAGGACCTAGGTTTGAATATTTAAAATATTGTTTAAAATGTAGATACATTTAGTATTTTATACAATTATGTATAAATTTAATTCTAACTAAATCAGATTCGACTTCT